TATAGATTCTAAAAAGATGGTCATTTATCAATTTACTTGTACAGCGGAATCCTCTGGTACAAGGTATATTAATTCCATTCACAAGTAGAGCTTTCTGAATTATAATCCTACCAGGATAGGGAACTGAAAAAGCTTTCATTATGATAAAACCATTTTCCCTCAAATGATTAAACTAGAAACATTATTAAGTTATAAATGGTAGAATTAGCAATTTGTATTCTTTGATCCTAAGCAATTTTCTTGTTTTTTGCCTTTTTTGTCCTTCTCTGTATATTAACCCTTCTGTATTGGTTTCTTTCAGAATTCCTTCTTTCATATTTTCTCCTTCCTCATTTCTCTGATGTGAAGATTTCCTCGATATTTTCCTCCTATCTCTGAAATAAAAATTATTTTTGCTAAAATATCTTTAATTTCTATAAAGCTTTGTCATTCTGTCATTTAATTTTTCCTTATTATGATGACTGATGGAATTCTAATTATTACATGCATTTCTCTCAAAATAATTTTTTTAATTCTCTTTTTTCCTTTTCCTATTGTTTTGGTTTAAATATTCATCATTTGTGGCTCTACAAATATGGATGATGGTCCTCAATTGCCCATTCATATATAAGAGTGAGATAATAAAAGCTAAATGAGAGTACTTGAAGCATCCACTTTATTGTCTCTGCACAGGTATTCATTCATCTGTGTGGATCATAGCTAACACACTTTATTGTGCTTATGTGAAATCTCTACATGGATCAAGAGGCAGTGTGTGAACAAAACAAAACAATAATGCATGATATAAAATCAAGAAAGATGTGTATCCTTTGTTCTAATAACATGGCATTCTATGATGTTCACCTTCCAGATACAATCACTGAAGACAAAGTGGATGCATAAGCAAATGTGGTGAAGAAAGCTGATGGTGCCCAGCTATCAAAAGATATAGTGTCTGGGGTCTTGAAGCATCTTAAAGGCTTGAAGATATACAAGTGGCCATCTAGCTGTGAAGCAACAAAGTCCACATAGAAATAGCAAACCAGCCTGTGTGATCATGAGGTGTTCAACAGGATCAGGTATCAGGCATCAGAAGACCCAATACAAGCAATCATATCAATGCAAATGAGGGGGGCTGGAGTGGAGTCCCAAAGTCCATCTGTAGACAATTGGACATCCCCTCACAGGAGGGTCACCAGGAAGGGATGAGCCAGCCAAGGTGCAGTACAGCCCTGAGGAAACATACAACATTCCTCTAGCCATGCCCCAGTTCCACCTTACAAATCTGGCTGGACCAGAGCATGTACCCTGCTACATATAAGAACTCTCAACACATGGAATCCAGGACATAAAATAATACTTGTGGTGGTCACCTAATCTGGTGTCAATTTGAGGATTAAGAGTGTAGGGGTGAAGTCTAGGCTGTCAATCTGGAGATAGCCAATGAGACTTCTGTGGGCATGGCCTTCTGAGAATTCTGGGAAATCTGATACTTCCTCCTTGGAGGCTGGAGATACCTACTCTCTCTGCTACTTCCTGGGAGACATGGCAGAAGACAAGCCATATGGATGCAACCAGACCTCAGAAGCCAGAGAAGACACAGAGACCCCCCCACCAGCACTACGATGCTTACCACACTACTGGACCCAAAGACTTTCTACCCGCTGGCTTGTGATTGCCCTGTATTTGGCATCATTGCATGTGTTTCGTCAGTCTGAAGAGGACTTTATAGATTGGTATCGGACATATGGGCTAACATCAGACTTATGGCCTTGGACTGGACTGGGTTGGGATGTTTTCTCAATGTTCAACTGCTCTTGTATATAAACCTCTCCCTTATATACATATGCTTATGAATATGAATTTGTAAGGTGTTTATGAATTTGTTTCTCTAGTCTCCCCAGACTAACACAATACTTCATAATTTATCAAGGGTTCACAAGGGTGGGAGGGCGGGGGGAAAGAGGGAAAAATGAGGAGCTGATGCCAAGGGCAAAAATAGAAAGTAAATGTTTAGAAAACGATGATGGCAACATAAGTACAGATATGCTTGATACAACTGATGTGTGGATTGTTATGAGAGTTGTTAAGAGACCTCAATAAAATGGTCTTAAAAAAACAAGAAAAGCACACAAACTAAATTATGTTGTAAGAGTTTCAAGATATTAATGAAAAAATATTAAATAATACCTGTCAAAAACAATAAAAATGTTATTTAAGATTTAAAAAAAGATGTGAATCAGGAGTGTATCCTCACACCATACTTATTCAGTCTATGTATTGAGAAAAAACCAGAGAAGGTGGGCTATCTGAAGAAGAATGCAGTATTAGGACTGTAGGAAGTCTTAGTAACAACTGCAGATGTGTACATAATACAACCGAACTTGCAGAAAGAGAGTAAGGAGGATGTGACGCACTTGCCAATGAAGATCAAGGACTGCAGCCTTTAGTACAGACTACGACTCAATGTAAAGAAAATGAAAATGCTTGTGTCTTGACTAATAGGTAGCACCATGATAAATGGAAAGAGATTAAAGTTTTCCAGGGCTTTGTATTGCTTGCATCCACAATCCGTGCTCATGGAAGTTGGAGTCAAGAGACTACACACAGCACATTGCATAGTGTAAGTCTGCTGCACAAGACCCCTGTACCGAAAAGCAAGGTGCCACTTTGAGGACTAAGTTGGGCCTGACCCAAGCCAGGGGACTTTTACTTGCCTCCTCTGCACGTGAAAGTTGGACAATGAAGACTGAAGAAGAATCGACGCATTTAATTTGTGCTGGAGAAGAATACTGAAAGTCACATGAACTGCTAAAAGGACAAACACCTGCCTTGGAAAAAGTATGGCCCCGAGTGCTTCTTAGAGGAAACGATGGCACGGCTTTTTTCACCTACTTTGCACATGTTGTCAGGTGAGACCAGTCTCTGGAAAGGACAGCATGCTTGGTAAAGTAGAAGGGCAGCAAAAAAAAGTCAGACTCTCAGTGAGATGAGCTGACACGGTGTCTGCTACAATGGGCAGAAACACCACCACTGTGAGGCCGGTGCAGCAGAACCAGGCAGTGCTTCATTCTGTTGAACGTAGGGTTGTTTTTTTGAGTTTTTTCACGACAACAACATATTCCGGGTATGCAAAAGACAGGGGAGGGGATGTGTGGATCCCTGGAAGGATCCCTATGGAAAGACCTTCAGTCAATCTTCCTTTTAATTCAATCAGTGTTCCACACTTTACTGTTCACTCCAAGTCTTGGATCTCTCACCCAATTGCTCCTGGAATGTGCACCTGTGTCCTGACTTGAAGTTAAGTGACTCTTAGCTAATATTATGTGCACAGGGCACTGACATCACTGTCGCAGATAAAAGAATATTGTCATTTTATTCTCTTCATTATCTATACTAATTACTTCCAAGTCCATATTTCGATAAAGTTAGATTTCTTCACAGTATTATCCTTTTCCAAGGGTCCATTCGATTTTGAAATCCTCTGATAGATCAGTGGTTATACATACTTGTATCTGCTTTCGGATTTTTGAAAATCAGTTTCAGTACCTTATCCATTGAAGCCATCCATGCCATTCTGTTTGGTCTGATGACTCAACTACGCTTGTTGAATATTTTATCCAGTAAGCGTTTTGACATTTAGCCACAACTGTCATTTTCATTGTTCACTGTTCTCTTTGCATTTCACACAGTAAGTCCTTCTAAGTTTGTGTTCTCAAAGAAAATCTTCATTGCTCTTTTATTTAATTTCATGTCCTTGGAAAGTCCTACTGATTCAGATACATTCCCAAAAGCTTGATAAATAAAAGGAGTGAGAGATTTCCTCGAGAGAATATATGCATTTTTCTCTTGCATACTTTACTGGCGCAGGTAAGCCATCGATGCTGACTTCTTGTTCCAGTGGCAAACTTATTTGATATAATCCTTTCATTGAGGGCATCAGGTTTCCTGATTTCATGGGCCCAAAGCTTTCTCTATTCCAGAAAGTCTGGGAAGCAGGGGAAGCCCCTTTCCATTAATTTCCAGAACTGGTCATCTGGCCCAGATCAGCTGCCAGCTCAGTCTACAGCTTCCTACTCCGGCGCTCGGTTTCTCCTTCATTTCAAGTGTGTTGGGCTTTGTCTTACTGTAGCCTTTTGAGCTTAACCAAGCATTGGAAGCACAGCAGTTATATTCTACTAAGTACATCTAGAAATGTTTTAGTGCTGTGTTTTCTGGTAAGCTAGTACACATAAGTACTTTCTTTAATCACATTTAGTGAAAACTTAGTATGGATCCACGATGACTGTATTTAGCTTACCATAACTGGTCACAAGTCAAAGGTTATTACTTTCTAATAATGATAAGATACTTCTTTATGAATTCACTTCGGTATTACTTTCATGATCATTAACTCTATGTTGCTTAATGTTAATTTCATTTATTAATATTGGAGAATCTAGGTAATATAACTAAAATAACACAGATACTAAATTCAAAACGAAGAGCGGCATAGTTCTACCACTTAATAGTTGTGTAACATCAAACATTTACTTAAATTTTTTGAATAAGTCTCTACACAAAACTGACGTTGTTATTGGTGAGAAAATGGAATAACATCAGCAATGTCTTACAGTGAAAACTCACACCTCCCATGGAACTTGCACCTCCAAGTTCTACGAGCCTGTCACTGTGATGTTTCTACTTTTCTTACAGAATGATTTCAATCAGAAAAGATCCCAGGTGACTTTCAACCACACACATAAGCAACTTAAAAATTTTTATCAATTAAGAAATAATCAAACTTATTCCATTATCAATTTTGTACAGAATCATAATTTGGGGGGGTGTTTCTCCATTTATAAACACCTGTAGTCAAAATACACATTGTTCTACCTTTTCTGAGGGTTCTAACTTGCTGTCTTCATCCTTATGGCGGAACAGCCTGAGCGAATAGGTCTGTACCCACCGCCTCAAATAGCCTCTACGTGCGTCCACACTGAGAAAGTCAGTTTCGGGAGAGAAAGGAAGCATTCACTCACTGTTAGGGCTAGTAGTTTCCCATAGGTGAGGTGCGCAGGGATGTGGTCAGTTTTGGATCTCAGTGATTCCATATACCAGTGCTCCGCTTCAGGGAGTTTGCTTAATCGCATGTATGCTTCACCTGGACAAAGAAACAAGAGGACCAATGTGAGAACACAGCTCTCCAAAAGCACCCGTGGAAATTCATCATCTTCATGTTACATTCCTCGGAACGTCACATGTGCTACCACGCACTTCCATCCACTCAGCCATGATCTCATCTGATTCTCACAGAATCAATCAGCTGAGAACATTTGAGTTTGGAGAAATTAAGTACACAGTAAAATCCGGAAACTGAATAAACAATAAACCTTGATTTTCAACCAAGAAATTTCAAGTTTAAAATATATGTGTAACTTAAAAAACAATAATGTGGGTAGGGTTTTTGTTCTCTTACATACAATCCTTTGAGAGGCTTTTTTCTTGTTTCTTTAGTTTTAAAATTCACATTCACTTATGTATAAACTAAAGTATTAATAAAACTACTAAATGGAGAGATTTTTTTAGGTGCTAAAGGATGCTAAAAATCCTTGCACTCCAAGTATGTTTACAACCTTTGTAAAATTGGTGAGGAATTAAAATTGAAAGTTATCAAAATGAAACATCTGGATCAAATATGTGTGCTAGACTATTATTTTTAGAGAAAGTATTTGGAAAAATCCAAAGAATATGACAGTGTTCATATGTTTCCAAACCAAAACAGAAAAACAAACTCAGTGCTATCTAATAGATGCTGACTCATAAGAAGTCTTGATGGAGTAGAGGTTACTCATTGGGCTGCTAACCATAAGGTTAGCAGTTCAAAACCACCAGTCACTCCATGAGAGAACAACGAGGCTTTCAACTCCCATAAAGAATTACAGTCTCAGGAAGTCACAGGGTAGTTCTAATCTGCTCTATGGAGTCACTATCAACCAGATGATGTATGTCCTGCACTGTGTGAAAAGCAAGCATGGAGCTTTTACTTGACACTTGACACAAGCGGTATTTCAAGGTGAAAAAGGTAAGTGGGGGAGAAAAAGGAAATAAAGCAAAAAATTAATCAGACATTTGTCTATGTATACTATTTCCTTAATAAAATTTCTGCCTCAACCTTAACATGGAGATGGTATAGAAGTGCATTCAACTGAAAAAAAATTGAAATTTAAGATTATTCATATATTTAAGTTAATTGCTTGCTCTTAATTCACACTGCAAGTGTAAAACCTACTTCTATTTTAAGCCCATGGAAAAGACTGACAAACGTCATTATTTCCCAGGCAGGCTTTTCTAGTATCACTAACCATGACAGCCTTTCCCATTTAGAGGTACAACCAGACACTTTTACATTGGTGCCACTTAAAGTTTTTTTTTCTTTTAGCTTCAAAAGCAGAGCTAGTTCCCTTTCATTTTATCATGTTTCCTTTTCATAAGCAATATATTGTCAATACAAATGTGTTTGATGAATTGAATTGGTTCAGCTCTCCTGGCCTTTGGAATAACCTTTACATGGCTGGTTAACAAGAATATTGGGGGGAAAATAATACACAATATGCACAAAAACAAAAGAATTCACTTATACACCTTTATATATTTCTACTTCTGCAACTAGTCTGTTGAGTATATTACCATAAATATTATAGATGGACATTTTATTAATTTTATTTAATTTTTAATTTAAAATGTGCAAGCATTATAGAATGACTTGGTTAGATAAAATCATATGTTCGGCAAAATCCTAGAACTATTGAGATAAAATCTTATAAGACCAAGATGAATCATACTATATAAAAATACTCAAAATTAATGGAATCATAAAGTTAGTGTAAAATGAAAATAAAACACAAAGTTTCTAATAGCATTTGTAGTAATTTTACTTTCTTATTTGGCTATGTGGTTCTTGGTAGGTGACATCGCGTCAGCTCTGACCCGTAGCAGCACTGCGTGACAGAACAAACCGCATGGTCCTGAGCCATCCTCACAATTGTCCCTAGGCCTCCGTCCCTGGATCAAGCCACTGTGTCAATTCTATTTGCACAACTGCCTCTTGATCCATGTACAAATTCCAAATGTACACTGTGAAGTTTTCTGGAATTCTCCTCCAGGTTATCCACAGTTTACTATGGTCCCCACAGAGGAATGACTGTGCATAGTCAATGAAATACAAGGAAACATATTTCTGGCATTCTCTGCTTTGAACTGAGATACATGCTCTTCTGACTCCAGCCTGAGCTTCTGGCACTCCAGGGAAATACACTGATGCGATCCTTGTTGGATGATCTTAAGCAAAACTTTACTTGTGTGCAAAATCACTGATATCACCCTCCAATTTGAGCATTCACTTGGGCCACCGTCCTTTGGAATGGGCACAAATACGGAGCTCTTCAAGTCAGTTGGCCAAGCAGTTGTCTTTTAATTTCCTGGCATATATGAGTGAATGTTTCTACTGTTTATTCAACTTCATGAATTATTTCAATGGGTATTCCATCCATTTCTGGAGACTTGTTTTTGGCAAATGCATTCAGCGCAGTTTGAACCTCTTCCTTCAGCACCATTGTTCTTGCGCATATGCTACCTTATGAAATAATAGCGTGGTGACAGTTCTTTTGGGTACAGCGACTCTGTGTATTCTTTCCATCTTCTCTTGATGCTTCCTGCATCACTCAATAGTTTGCCTACAGAATCTTTCAAGATTGCATCTCAAGGCTAGAATTTTTTCTTAAATTCTTTCATTTTAAGATATGCTGAGCATGTTCTTCCCTTTTGAGTTTCTAATTCTGACAATATATTTTTTTAAGTTTCAAAAATACATCAAACTGACAACTGTAAGAAATACAAGTCAGGTTCAGAAGAGCATGTGGCATGAATGATTATCAC